TAAACATAAGGAAGCCTCGAATGTCACAAAATTAGCATTTCAGAAACGTTGATTTATTTGTTTATTTTGAAAATTAAATATTTCTATGAGTGTGGGGTACTCCCATATATTTGCTATACAGGGATGTGTTTTTGGCCTTGCTATCTTAAACAGGGTATACATTTTTATATGTAATAGGACTCCATGCTGTCCAATTAAGAAATAATTGGACGAGGAAAATTCCGAGGACTGCCAAAAATTGGACGAGGCCGTGGCCGAGTCCAATTTGGCAGTCAGAGGAATTTTTTGAGTCTAATTATTTCTTAATTGGACAGCATGGAGTCTTATTACCTATTAATTATATAGCCACATATTGATCCCAAATAGGTAAAAGCCAACCACAGCTTTTAACAATAACAGTAATGACACCTTCATTGAAAACCTGTCCAATTAATTTCTTAATTGGACAGGAWTCCAAAATKAAYGAAAAATCCAGCTTTTACMTATTTGGGATTAATATGTGGCTATATAATTAACATCACAAATTTACAACCTTTTAAAGTGAACGATTTTTTCCAGTGATTTCACCGGTATTTCCTCGAGAAACGCACGGCAATCCATTCTTTCAATTGCTTTTATGATGCTGTAAGTTAGAGTGCATTTACAGAGTATTCTAAAATACTTAGGATACTACGCGCGCTGGTCGAAAACCATGTTTGATTACAGTTTCTAAAATATTTAGGATACTACGCGCGCTGTGATTGGTCGAAAACCATGTTTGATTACAGTTTCTAAAATATTTAGGATACTACGCGCGCTGTGATTGGTCGAAAACCATGTTTGATTACAGTATCAAAACACGCTCGCGCGCGTCAAAAATTTCTTTTATTCTTTTAATTTTAGAAAAGGAATAAAAGACGAAATTCCGTGTTTGATACTCTGATCAAAACACTTGGGATGTAGGGAGAGCACTCGAAAAGCTGGAAACCACTCCGCTACGCGTCGTGGTTTCCTACGCTTCTCTCGTGCCCTCCCTACATCCCGCGTGTTTTGATCAGAGTATCAAACACAGAATTTCGTCTTTTATTCCTTAAATCAAAACACGCTCGCGCGCGTCAAAAAGTTTTTCTATTCTTTTAATTTTAGAAAAGAAATAAAAGACGGAATTCCGTGTTTGATACTCTGAGCAAAACACTTGGGATGTAGGGAGAGCACTCGAAAAGCTGGAAACCACTCCGCTACTCGTCGTGGTTTCCTACGCTTCTCTCGTGCTCTCCCTACATCCCGCGTGTTTTGATCAGAGTATCAAACGCGGAATTTCGTCTTTTATTCCTTAAATAAATCACGCCCTATGACCAATCAGAGCGTTCGTTCTATTATAGAAATGAAAGAAAGCTATATTGCTTTGAAGGAGGCAATTTCGGGATAAAAACCCTTAGGAATAAATTTGGAAAAATTAATTTCCGACCTCGCTGGGATTCGAACCCACGACCTTCGGATTTGTACTAACGATGCTCTACCAGCTGAGCTACAAGTCGAGACTGGGAGCAGGTCGGGTTGAAATAGATGTTAGGTTGCGTTAATAGAATAATGTAAAGATATTAATTCTCCACGAACTTGTTTATCTACATCTCTGCTTTTTTGATGTCATTTTCTAGTGCGTTAGACTCCTTGTGCTGCAGGAACAAAGATCGCACTAAAAAAGCTCGCGTTTCCTTTCTTGTACCATGTTCTTTTCTTTCTCACTTTTCGTTTTCTTCCCCTCCATCTCCTGTACATCGGTCTTACTGATCCACAGCCATGATTTTCTTGACGCATTCATTTTTATTTCAGAATGTAATACCTGAACCAGATACTGACATTCTTTTTCTTTTAAAACAGGTTCAAGTTCTGCGAAGATGTGGAATACGTCGCTCGTCGACCGAAGTCCAACCAAACGAATATAGATTGTCATCAAGGCAGCCTAACGACAGTCCTGTATGCTTACACAGGCAGCCCAACGACAGTCCTGTATGGTCACACAGGCAGCCCAACGACAGTCCTGTATGCTCACACAGGCAGCCCAATGACAGTCCTGTATGCTCACACAATGAGTGGGATGCACTGGAAGAGGTTATTGTTGGCAGAGTTGAAGGTAAACTACACGCCAGTTTATGGTTCTTCTTCAATAGTTTATGATATTCTAAAGAAAGCACATTCCTGCCTTTGTCATCGAGAATGAGTTCCAAAATATGTGGTTCGATAAGGAATTTGAGATGAATGCTTTCTTTTCATAAGACATAATGTCGTCATGTAACGTCTAATGTATTTCTGCGACTCACCATTTATCAGGATCAGCCGTCCCACCGCTAACAGTGGAAGTTCAAACCATTATAAACGAAAACCACTGGGATTTGTTTAAGGAAAGGGCGGGCAAGCCTTGGCCGGAAGACATTATGAAGAAAGCAGCGCTGCAGATAGAGGAATTGTGCAATGTCTTGAGACATGAAGGTGTAACTGTCAGAAGACCAGAGATCGTTGATTTCACTCAGGTCAGTCTACAGAATATGACATCATGGCCATTAAGATAATCAAGTGTAATTATCAATGTAGGAATTCAAGACTCCCGATTTTACGTCCAGCGGCTTGTATGCTTCAATGCCAAGGGATATACTTCTCGTGATTGGCAATGAGATCATAGAGAGTCCTATGGCTTGGCGTAGCAGGTTTTTCGAGTASAGGGCCTACCGTCCACTTCTAAAGGAGTACTTCAGACAAGGAGCCAAGTGGACAACTGCACCTAAACCACTCATGTCTGATGAACTCTACAACAAGGTAGTTTCCTGTCCTTAGCGCGTCTTGGTCGTCTTGTCTCACGTCATATCTTTTAGGGGTAAAAATAAGAGCTCTGTTTTTTCTAGGTTTTACATATTGTAGGAACATATGAAATGATAAGAACATGATTTTAAATAGACCAGAGAATTTATGAAAATGCTTTAATGAACCTTGGGTTTAAAGTATTTGATGTTGAGGTTACTAGAATTGTTTTAGAAGTGTTTAAGAATATAGATTTTCAATTTTGTTGGTTTCTTTTAGGGTTGAAAATACGGTGTTGCCACGCCCTTTGTCGTAAGATCCTGGTGTCTTTTAGGGGTATTTTTCTATTTACGGCGATCAGTTGCACCCCTAATACGAGGGAGTGCCCCCCCCGGTCTTGTCGCCAAGAACTCTTTCATCATTGAGAAATTTATCAAATTCTTCTTCTACGACTCTTTTTCTCCCTACGAGCCAGCTTTCTTGGTCTTCTTATTCTAATTTCCTTAACATTTTTTTTCTGCTGCCCCCCTTCAGTCCACTGACTGCCATTCTTCATTGTCCAGTTCTGTATCTTTTATTGAAGAAACTTTTCTTTGATTGTTTCCCAGGAATTGTTTGCAAACAGGTCAATAGACGGCAAGAAAAAACTTTCAGCCGAAGGAAAGTTTGTGACAACCGAGTTTGAGCCATGTTTTGATGCAGCTGACTTTATGAGAGCTGGGAAAGACATCTTTGTTCAAAGAAGTCATGTAAGTCGAAGATAATACCCATAATTCTATTCAGCGATGAAATAAAGCTATGTGATAGAGATGGACATAGTGCAGTAGAGATACTGTGATGTATTTTAACAACTAGAAGTGCTATCAGTTTCAGCAGAACCCCGCGAAGGGTTTGAAGCATTTGACCGCTACACTATGCTCTGAAACCTATACTTATTTTTCTGAAACATAAATTAAAGATATGATTTACACAAGAAACAGACAAATGACTTTTCTGGGGCGTTGACTACAAGACAGGGGTTCTGATAGTGTGAGTTTGTAATAAGTTCTTTGTATAGTAGGTTACAAACAACATGGGCATTGAATGGATGCGTCGCCATCTTGGTGATAAATACAATATTCACATCCTTTCATTCAAGAATGTCAACCCAATGCACATTGATGCGACCTTCAACATAATTGGCCCAGGGCTGGTTCTACTGAATCCCGAACGAGACTGCAATCAAATCGAAATGTTTCATAAAGCGGGCTGGAAAATCGTTCGACCACCTAATCCACTGATTCCCGATGACCACCCACTTTGGATGTCAACCAAATGGCTGACAATGAATGTACTGATGCTTGATGAAAAAAGAGTACTTTGCTGTAAGAACGAATTACCTGTTATCAAGGTACTGAACAACTACACAAATGTATCGTACTAAATTGTAAAGCTTTTGTACATGGACAATAAACCAACGAAGAAACCGAACCAAACAATTAACTGGGCAGACAACAGTAATTTCATAAACACTCGATAATAATTATCCAACTTTTCACTCTCCACGAACATGTATGCTGCAGGGATTGTGTTGTTAATTCATTTTTTTGGATTTCAGATGTTTGAAAAGCTTGGCATACAGTGTATTCCAGTTGATATACGTTATGCAAATTCCATTGGCGGTGGATTTCACTGTTGGACGTCTGATATTCGTCGGAGAGGACAACTTGAGTCATACTTCTAACTCGACTCACTCGCTCCAATAGGTAATCCAGCATCCAGTAATCCAGCATCCATTGACTTGAATCCGGAACCCGAACGACTAATATCCAGGCCACAAGTTCCGTACTCCAGCTTAGTTCCGGATTACCTTTTAATTAAAATTATTATTTTTAATCAAAATTATGCTATTTTTTGCTAGCTCTGAGTAAGTTACAGTTAACAAATAATAGCGACATACTTTTTTTACGATATATTACTGGAAAAAAATCGCGCACCATAAAGGTTGTAAATTTGATGGAAATATTTTGTAAGTGTCCAAAATGATGGAAATCATTTACATCAAATTTACATCATTTTGGACACTTACATCATATACACATCAAATTTACAACCTTTATAGCGCGCGATTTTTTCCAGTGTATAATGGGTGAAAAGAAATAAACACTATTCCGAAGGACATCTTGAAAACTTAATATTTAAGTTAAACAAGATTTTAAGGGTAAGTTTATATTTCGGTTTTAATTTAGAACGATATAATATGTAGAAGTGAGGAGTGAAATACACTATACAGCGAATCATTGTATTAATATATTGTGTACAATTCACTGTGTAACAACAATCATGCTTGTTTCGACGCGATCTCCAGTAGGTACGGGATTGACATCGCATCATTGAATAAGTTATTGTTTGTATGTTTGAACATATTGTTTATTAAACGATTCAGACGTCCTGTCTTACTCTAATGGACGGTACTCGCATTGTAAGCAAATAAAAATAAACGCAAGACACGATTAGCATGACTCGGACTGAGAATGTCACAATCATCAAAAACCATTGAAATGACAAAAAGCAAGAATATTTTAGCTCTAAAAATCATCCAAAACTTTCCTTTTACTCCGCATACTGTCCGGACATATGAATCCACATACTGAAGCTACTCCGCATACTGTCCGGACATATGAATCAAGATTCTGCTTCAGTAGCCTAATAAAATGGCAAGCCTTTACTTCCTATTGCCAGTCACAAATGACATTTTTTACGATATATGACTAGTCCCCCCCATTGCGATGAAATAAAACAGTCTAGCGATTTCATATAATTACACTATGATTATTTAATCAATTATAAGTATTCGTTGTTGTAATAGGCAGTTCTCGGTATTTAAGAACTATAACGTACCAGTTTTGGGGTTCCTGTGTTCTATCGGAACAACGAAAGGTACACTACGTTGAAACGAATGTCTATTCGCGAGACATCTCAAGAGAGCGTCAATCTCAACCACTTCCTTCGTCCTCTCTCTCCTCATGTCCTCTGATTGAATCAGCACAGGAACCCCAACGTAATACTATACAATATATCATATAAGAAAATATCATGTTTTATCAGAGCCAACCTCCAGTCAACTTAAAAAACAGTTCATCGCTTGGAGGTTGATTGACGTCTTTTCTCATGGACAGGAAAATATATCCACCGATGAACTCGTGAACAGATTTGATATCGGCGCTGAGACAGTTAAATGCTATAGTCTCGCCTTCACATTGTACTATCATTTCTCTTGTCTCCCAGTTCACGTTCCATGATTTCATGACGCTGTATCGCCATGTTTTGATTGCTTCTTTGCTATTCGGGTCCATCTTCATGATACGATTGAAAGCAATGCCAAGAATTTCCTGTAAAACACCAAATGATGAGTATACCATCTGTGATCTAGGTGTCTGTCATATAGAGGTGTCTGTGATCTAGAGGTGTCTGTGATATAGAGGTGTCTGTCATATAGAGGTGTCTGTGATCTAGAGGTGTCTGTCATATAGAGGTGTCTGTGATCTAGAGGTGTCTGTCATATAGAGGTGTCTGTGATCTAGAGGTGTCTGTCATATAGNCAGTCACAAATGACATTTTTTACGATATATGACTAGTCCCCCCCATTGCGATGAAATAAAACAGTCTAGCGATTTCATATAATTACACTATGATTATTTAATCAATTATAAGTATTCGTTGTTGTAATAGGCAGTTCTCGGTATTTAAGAACTATAACGTACCAGTTTTGGGGTTCCTGTGTTCTATCGGAACAACGAAAGGTACACTACGTTGAAACGAATGTCTATTCGCGAGACATCTCAAGAGAGCGTCAATCTCAACCACTTCCTTCGTCCTCTCTCTCCTCATGTCCTCTGATTGAATCAGCACAGGAACCCCAACGTAATACTATACAATATATCATATAAGAAAATATCATGTTTTATCAGAGCCAACCTCCAGTCAACTTAAAAAACAGTTCATCGCTTGGAGGTTGATTGACGTCTTTTCTCATGGACAGGAAAATATATCCACCGATGAACTCGTGAACAGATTTGATATCGGCGCTGAGACAGTTAAATGCTATAGTCTCGCCTTCACATTGTACTATCATTTCTCTTGTCTCCCAGTTCACGTTCCATGATTTCATGACGCTGTATCGCCATGTTTTGATTGCTTCTTTGCTATTCGGGTCCATCTTCATGATACGATTGAAAGCAATGCCAAGAATTTCCTGTAAAACACCAAATGATGAGTATACCATCTGTGATCTAGGTGTCTGTCATATAGAGGTGTCTGTGATCTAGAGGTGTCTGTGATATAGAGGTGTCTGTCATATAGAGGTGTCTGTGATCTAGAGGTGTCTGTCATATAGAGGTGTCTGTGATCTAGAGGTGTCTGTCATATAGAGGTGTCTGTCATATAGAGGTGTCTGTCATATAGAGGTGTCAGTTCCATACCTCCTTCTTTGTAGGCTTCTCTGATCTGAATTTAACTATAAAATGTGAGATACCAAACTCTGGTAGAGCCTGCCATTTTCTAATGTACAGCATCTTGGATTCAATCAGTGATGTTTTCTGCAGAGCAGTGTGTGCGTCTAGGATACGTGCAGCAATCTGATAGTGAATGATAATCTGGATTAGATGGATAGCCAGCTAATGGTATTGACCAGGTTAATCCATACCTGCTTTGGTTTGTACTTCCGCAGCATTCTTGGTCCAACAAAATCCTCTGGTTGAATTTGAATCTGAAAAATGATCAAGAAAACTATTACACCAAATATCAATGCCAACAATAATAGATATTGAAATACCTGCCCAGGGCTGCTTGGTGTAGAGTCCCCTTTGTCATGCTGCATGCTAAGAAAGGCCTGGATTCCAGCCATCTCAGAGCTGTATGTAGCATCTGCCATAGTCTTGCCTTTGGAAGCCATGCGGAAAGCTGCCATCCACTTGGCATACTGTGTCTCCTGGAAATCAAATAGATTACATTACAATAAATCATGAAAACAATACAGTATGTTTGATTGACACCTACTGTTTGGCAAGCTATTTCTATTTCATCGCCATCAGGTAGTCTTAATTTGATGAGGTATTTATCCTTGTACACATTAACATCTGTGGTGACTTCACAACCTGTCAATAATGTTACACTAATCAGAGTTAAATAAATGATTATTCTAGCTTTTAAGAGCATCCATTGACTAATATCATCATTCTTAACATTGCCATTGTCGAACTGCACAAGAGCTGGCAGAGTGTAGCCTGGGGCTGGCACTAAATGTATATGGCTTTAACCAATGACAGCACAACATACCAAAGACTTGTCCATGACAAATGTATGCATAATATAATAATACATATTGTACTGTATCACATTGAAATAGATTCAGAATGTCATGCCTTCAAGAACGACGCAATACAATAGAATACAAACACTATTGCTTCCCAAATAAAGAGTTTGCAACAAATTTTAAAATCAGCTGTTTTTGTAGCTTTCACAGTTTTAACAATTTGGTGTATTGAGTTTAATATCCATAAACAATCAAAAATCACTTTCATGCAACTAGTATACTTGTAATAGTTTGGATTTAATGAAGCTGTGCTCATACATTGTATTGCACTCTGTCGCCAGGATAGCTATGTAACCTCTAAACTTTTGGTAGAACTTAACAATATGTAAGTAGACATACCTCTAAGGTTAGTCTTTTGCATAGGCTGACCATATGACTCTTCTTGGGTCTTGTATATGGATAGCATGGTATCTGAATCAAACAATGTCACAACTATCAATGTGAACTGCCTTCACATAATCACATCACAGCATGTTTACAGTGGGAAAAAATGTTCATATAATCACATCACAGCATGTTTACAGTGGGAAAAAATGTTCATATAATCACATCACAGCATGTTTACAGTGTGAAAAAATGTTCATATACACCATGTATCAATGCTTGCTCATGTACTCCTTCTTTGATATGCAGTCATATACTTAGCATTGCAACAACAAAATGTTTTGCCTCTTTCTTTCATTTTTTGTGCTTGTTACAAGTAAAGCTGTGTTAACTTATTATTGCAGCCAAGTGTAGATAAAATTACTAGAGTATTACTACAAGCACCATTATTATTGACATACTACAAGCACCATTATTATTGACATACTACAAGCACCATTATTATTGACATACTACAAGCACCATTATTATTGACATACTACAAGCACCATTATTATTGACATACTACAAGCACCATTATTATTGACATACTACAAGCACCATTATTATTGACATACTACAAGCACCATTATTATTGACATACTATGATAATGCTAGTCTTTTACTCCGACGAAGGATTAACGTCCGAAACGTCAGTAAGTTATGTCACATACTTTTTTAAGGTGTTAAATTTATCCTTTTACACAACTGTATGATAATGTTACCTTTAAAGATGAACCAGCATTTCTTTTTCTTGTTACCAAATGCCTTTTGTCTACAAAAAAAACAATCCAATAGTCTTCAAAAAACACTGGAGATAAAATTTAATCACATGACAACCAGTATGACTCAATTATTCTTTCTTCTGTTTAGACTGATTCTATATAAAGTAAATAAATTGAATGTTGAAATATTCTTTCATTTCAGTTATGTCTTTGAGTTTTATAAAAGAAATGATTTCACGAAATTAATTATTGAGTGTCTGCTTCAATATATCATAACATAATATAAATAATATATAATATCTGATGAAGCATCCCTTGACGTCATTATCATTAGCATATTGTAAGATTGATCCATCACTGGAATGATGCAACATTGGAATGCAGGAATATTCCAGCAGTCAATATTTAGTTTATATAGAACCACAGCACATAGAGAATCAACAACTAGTGTGTGTATAGGATACCATGTTAATAATAGATCAAAGTATTGGGTTAACTTACACCATGAGATTCAGATAATCCTTTATTTCTGGGACAGCTGTTAGATTCTGAAAATAAATGAATTGATTAAATAGATACAAGAAAGAGTACATGCATTTACTTTTGTCAAATGATTGCTTGGTAGTTGATATCATTACTTGGTATATTTCCTAATAGTTGTAGTGTAAAATATGACTAGCACTGTTTTCTACAACTTATTAACCTACTTTTTCATTGTTTCAATGGGAAACTTTTTGAAATAAGAATTAAAATCAGAAATAATTTTTATGACATGAAATATTACAACAGGACAACAGTTCTTAGGTTATTTACATTCCAATAATGGTGGACCAGATATCTTAAGGTAATGATCTAAATATCTTTCTTCTAACAACATTTATGACAATTTGGACTAAGTTTGTGTGTACAATATTTATAGGTATAGTTGATAAATTCAAAACAATGGAAAAAGTGTGTGGCTAGTTTGTAAGTGACATAAAATGTCATGCACGTGACCTAATAGGGATACCATTTATAGTCATGCACTATTAATAAGTATTTGAACTTACTGCTTTCACAGGAGTGTTTGACAATGACGAACCTTCCAGTGATGCCTGTAATAACAAAACACACTTATTATAAAGAAATTAATAATTTTACAGATTATTGCTACCTGCTATATAATGTGTATTAATATGAACAGCTTGAAATGGTTTATTGGTGAATCAACATAAAGAAAGGGTTTAACAGTCATTGTCATCAATACTGTCGTCCCTATCAGGATCATATTTCATCTTCTTGTGATGAAACAACATCAATTCAACACTAGAAGACTATGTCATCATTACCTGTAAATCACTCAAAGCAGCATCAATATCATCATCATCTTCTGTAACATTTGCTTGAGGCGATGCTGACAGAATCTTGACCTGAAACTGTACAATGTGTTATTGCTATGTGTAATATGGATGTATATCGACTGCTCTGATAATATGCCTGCTGGCAGTAACATTGTTGTAAAGCATTTATTGAGCTGAGCTAGTATATGTCTTGTTGTTGTATAAATCATTACATCTTGTATTGCTAACACCAACCTGTACTGCTGCAAATGTCATCATTTCTTCCTCTGTACATTCAACTTCATCAGTAAGTATACTCCATTTGGCCTGCTCATAAAGCTGGTTGATTCTCACTTCATCAACCTGTCACACACAAAAACAGAATGAAATATCTCTGACAATCACTAACGTCAATGATTGATTAGCTGACCAACACGCTAAATAACTCACCTTAGGGTTCAAGTCAAAGAAGGTGTAATACTTGTATCTTAGTAACAATGTGTCAAATTCACGAACCTCCTGGAATAATCAACAATAATGATTTGAGTGCTTTTGTGGTTTCACTTTCACTACCGTAACTATGACACAAGACAGTGGTGATACAAAGGAGGAAAAAAAAAACAACAAAAAACTGGAGATAAAAATTGGAAAATACAACTGTTTTAAATTCTCCATGTTATACTTTGGAAATTCATTCTGTGATTTGACAATAATTTTCATTGGAGTTTGATAGGATGATTTTTTAAATTGAGTGATGATAGTTATTCACCTGTTCCATGAGTGACCTTGAAGAGTCAAGCCACCTAAAACAACAACAATATATCATTAATACAAACAACATTATACTAACAGATATGTTAATATATCTAATACATGATAAGATGTCAAAGCCCTTTGGGATTATCATGTCTCAGCAGTTTATAGCTATCTATACATATTTGTGTCCTTTAAGCATGGATTTCATAAGCATAGGCATAAGCACGAAGCACGAGAGTCATATGCGCCAGTGAGAACGGGCTCAAAATAAGCAGAAGCATGAGCACAAGAAAAACGAGCAAGGCTTATGCTTATGCTCAGTGAGAACGGAACTGCATAGGCATAAGTATAGCCTGGTACCGAAATAATACGCTCGTTCGCATGCTCAATGTCTTATGTTTATGTCGAGCCAGTTCTCGCTGTCGCATATGAATCTCATGCTCGTGCTTATGCTATGCTTATGAGCTAGTGAAATCCACGCTTTAGAGATCAAGCATCACCCCACTTTTTGGAAACCCAATAGGGTTTATTAATTATTTAATTATTAATTTATTAATATTGATTTCACATTTGACAAAGGAAACCCAGAAATCATATTTTCAAAATATGAAATACTGATGTGTGCTTCAATTCAGACTTTTTCAGCAAATAGCTAAAAAACCTGAGATGTGTTATTCAAAGCTTAGAGTAAATCAGGATTAACTCCACAGGTTTTTTAGGAGTTAACCCAGGATTAGTGTTAATTGAACTTTGAACGTCCCTAGTGACCAAATTTGTACATGTGAAGAGAAGACAAGGCATGATGTTAATGAGTCATGTAACCAAACCACTGACCACCAGGCTGTCTACACACATCACCTATTGGTTGAAACTACAATGATTCGGTAAAACTGTCACAAGCTGTGTTTTGTCTACATAGAGTTCAAACAGCAAAAACCATGAAATACTGAATTGTGTAAAACAGTACTAGTTTGGTGAAAGAAAACAAAAGAATAAGCATAAAATAGTACAAAATATAGTACAATATTAGCATTACAAAATATCACAGATACATTGTTTGCACTTTATAACTATCAAAGGGCAATACACTCAAGTACCTGTCAAACTCTTGAGTGACAGGTGCAGAGGCCAATCAATATTCATAACCAACATATCAAACGCTTGCCATCTTATATGATACAAACTGTTCACTTGGACTTGTATGCAATTTATGAGACAATAAAATGTACAAAATGTAAACCTTACCACTAGTATTAATCAATTTACCTACCCAGAATTCATTTGAGCCTTTTCTTGCAGTGTTTTCGGTGTGTAAAGCATGTTTATTGCTTCTGCAGACGGGGCTAACGGACTGCAGGATAGCTGAGTGTTTTCTATGGTATTGGAAGGTCCTTCGGGAACGAAAGGCGAGTTTGGAGTAGAGGGTGTGGAACCTGGAGACAGACTACCATTTGAACGGGGCATTGACCCATAGTTAGGCGTTAGGTTATCTCTGCTCCCTCGTTGTTTGTCATCACTGTTTTGCGACAAGTTATCGTCTGAACTCAACGACGAACCAGACAGACGCTTTTTAGTTTTTCCTCGCAAGCTTCTTTTGCCTTCTTTTCGCATTCTAGAGTTTGGCTTAATGAGAGAAAGTTCTTCTGGATGTCTAATTCCTAACTCGCTGCATAATTCCTGTACAGCTCCAAAAACCTTGGAGGAGAAGTTCATCGATACTTCAACGTATTGTAGATCTGGAAGTTGTACACGTACTTTCTTGTGGATCGGAGTAAAATGCAGCTTCGCATCGCCTTGAACCCCACAAGTGTCTAAAGTTAACCGGGGTTTCAGCAGCCACATTCGCTTCTGCGGCCACCACAAACCATGATCGGACCAGTCAGCAGAAATATCTATAATATCAACAACATCAAAATATATCTAGACCAATAATTTCCATATTTATATTTGATTAAAATTGGCTCTTTACGCAAAAAAAAAAGGATAACATTGTGGGCTACGGCGTCTCGTGTAGTAATCTATGCTCAAAGCATGTAATTTGATCGGTATCATTGAAAAGCTGTGTTTGTACACCAGTTATGTTGTACGAATGCCTCTATTTACTGCTCTTTTGCTTGTCATTTTATAAATAGCTAGCCAGAGAGTAAACCCTATAAACTAATGGGTACGTTCTCATGTAAAATTATTCCTCCATAACAGTATAATGAAAAACATGAAGCTTATTTCAAATATCACCACCACACCTTGAGAATACCTTCTTTACCGAACTATCATTACTAAGTAATGAGGACTTACCTAGTCCTTCCACTAGATCCAGCATCAATTTGCCAACAAATGTCTCTCCATTGACTTCAACGGGTTTTTCTGTGCTCAGACTAGTAATGTAAACGGACAGATTCCAGAAAGGTTTCTTGCCCGCAAGAGCCATTTTGGCTTTCGTGTGTGTAGCAAATCTAAATCAATAATTTCGCGCGATTCCTCAAGATTTAACTATCTGAAATGGGCTGTTTGGAAATTTTCAAAATACTTCCGGCAAGGCAGCAACAGTTCTAGGACAGTTCCATGTCCAAATTGTGCAATAATGTGGAGCAAGATATACAAAAGCAGCCAGACATAGATCACTTCGTGACGCGAGAGGAAACATTTCCGCCACGCTTCGCTAACCACGAACACACAACGACATATGTCCGAATATTTACCGACAATAATAGACGTAATATCAAACAACACCAATGATTTCTTTCATGAAAATTCTATGAAAACCACGCTTAAGATAACATGACGTCGGTTTTGAAGGCTATTTTTTCTACACCCAGGAAATATTCCTTACACATTTAATAGATATCAACTGTCGGAGATCGTTCGAGCAGCTTCGGAATGTCACAGCTATTTCCATATTAGGAGTGGCATTAGCGTGATGATGAGTAATTTCACCGCACTGAAGGACCGTTTGATAGCAGTGCTGGATTTCAGCTTTGCTCATTGCATGCAAATATCTTGGCGATAAGAATCGAGATAAATCGTTGTCGACAGTTTTGATACATGATAATGATAATATCTAGTATTCCGAGCTACAATTGTAGCCCAAGTTTGACCGTTCTAACCCACCCCTGGGTCAAAGGAACCGGATATATGACGTAGCATAACAACATGTTCATTTCCGTAAATGAAATAATAAGTTATTTTTGCAGGATAGATAAGGTAAATAGAACCCCATAAGAAAGTATAAGACCTTGATTGCGCTATCATCACGTGATGAAGTTTAGTCAGCGAGGATAGTGTGATACCTGTAACACCCTTAGCATGAACCGGCACGAACAGTAAATATTTGACGGCTACTTGTTTTGCTGGTCAAAGATGGTGAACACATTGCTAGACGTCATTTATGTTGGGTATTGTCATTTCCTTATATCGGTCTGACAGTCGATGTGATTCATACATAAAGAGAAAGAATGTAGACAAATGATCAAGATCCGTCATTAGGCTGGGCCAATTGCTGTTTAATTTTTCCCTCTTCCTTTCTTTTTTGAGCGTTGATGTACCGTGGAATTTAATCAAAAATAGTAGTTATCAGTCTGCATTTACTAGTAGTGTACGTCGTTGAACCAGAACAATGTTGATTGTTTCACGGTTCGAGTGCGGCGTTTACAGTAAACGTCGGTCATAATTTGGCTCGTTCGAAAGTCTAGAGCTCTTCTCGGCTTCAGATATTTCTAGGTTACCGAATACCTTCTTGTGTACAATGACCAGTATGTAAACGATACTCAGAGAATATGGAATCTCATTCATTAAAGTGGTTCTGCCTTTCATTCGTTTTGGAGTAATTTTCGGCTTTTTGTTAAACAAAAAAAAAACAAAGTATGATTTTGATGGTTTGGTATGAAATTTCACAAAATAATGGCAATATGAGCAATTAAAAATGATTTGGTCAGCAACATTTAGTTTCGGAGAATAAATGATATATAGTGATTTCTTTTGGTACTCCTTTTAGGAGAAAAATTTGCAAAACCGTCTGCATTCAACATATCCCTTTCTCCTAGAACCTCTAGCCTTGCAAAACCACACCCATCTGCATTCAACATATCCCTTTCTCCTAGAACCTGTAATCTTGCAACTCCGATGTTATCATTTCATTATTCACTTTGAGCATATGGCAATTCAGTGTTGACACCAAGCATTCCAATTTTATTTCATTTCAACACACTATATAGTCACTCCCTATATGACTGTCTATCATCACAACGCCAGGATTATCGAACATTCACCTAAAACAAAAAATATCAAATGTTAATTACGTAAACATCTTTTTGAGACCTCATTGCTAAATTTGCATGAAAAACCATCTTGCCTGCTATCATGAATTCATGAAATATTTTGTATATTTGAGCATATACTTGAGTTAAAATACGGGGATTTAAGTTGGTAGATTGACGCTAATCGATTACTATCGATAAGGAGTATGGATGATTTATCGTTTGTTTGTTTGTATTTTCGATTCATTTTATTGAATTTTCTGAAAACCTTATGTATAGTTTAAAACACGAGAGAAAGTGTTTACACGATCTCGAGTGTTTTAAACGGCTTAAAAAACTCCAACACTAATTTGGAACTCAAATTCGTTAAAAGTCTTGGAGAAATTGCAGAAAAATAAGTTTTGAGATAAATGGGGCAAACTGATCATGCGTAAATCACTATACAAAGCACTCTTGTCATCCCACATTGAATACGCATAAAGCAAAATAGAAGTGCTGATGGCTGTTTTACTGCAATCAGTTGACATCCTGCATTGGTCAATGATCAGGAATCAATCATGAGACCTTTGCTAGGGTCATGGACCTTTATAAAGGTCACCCTTATTAGTATATTCTGTATATAAAGAACACTAATAAGGAGTGTTTTATCAGATATAAAGGTCCATACATGTGACCAAATAGGCTCATTCTACTGGCCTAATAACTCATTAATTATCCATGAGTTTTTAAGGTTTAGTATCACTGACAAAAACTTACAATGTCATCAATCTTTAAAATACTTCTAACAGTTTCTGCGGCGAGTTGGATAGCACTAGTAGAAACTAACAAAGGCTGCAGCACACTTTCCTCAAGAATGTTGGTGATCGTTCCCTAGAATAACAACCATATTAAACACAATCGCACAACGCTATGCACAAGATAATAAACTAACCTTTCTAACATTGATGCCAGCTGCAACTTCACCTTGCGAATGCTTGTTTCTGAGTTCAGTTACAGTTGAAATGGAATTCAGCCCTGCATTCTCTGCCAATGTGTAAGGAATGATTTCCAAGGCCTCTGCAAAAGCCCTTACACAATAGGCATCTGTACTTGTTAGTGTCTGAGCATACTGTGCTAGCTGTAAGGCTACTTCTATTTCTGGTGCACCACCGCCAGCTATTAGAGCTCTGATAGAAATGATCATAAGATGATTATGATGACAATGATAATATCAAATTGTTATCAGTGGTTGTGGAGTTTTTAGAAAACAATGACCCACAGCCAATTCATATGGCTAAGCAACTGTGCATTAAATGATCTGAAATCTGCTGAAATGCATCACTTGCCAACAGGCCACAAGATCTTTATCAAAATATGAATTAAATGTCAAAAGCTTTCATACTTTTTCTTAACGAGGCAGCGTATGACACACAATGCATCATGGATAGATCGATCAGCCTCTTCCAAGACAAGTTTATTTGAGCCTCGTACAAGTATACTGACAGTTTTACCAGGGTTAGCAACTCCTGTTATCTAAAACAAATAAAAAAGCATGTTCATTAACCTTGGGATAAAACACATCCTAAATGCCCTTTTACGAGAATACAGGGAACTGGGAGAGAGAATACAGGGAACTGGGAAAGAGAATACAGGGAACTGGGAGAGAGAATACAGGGAACTGGGAGAGAGAATACAGG